TCTGGGACTTTCCTCACTGAGTCTGAGATGGGACCAGATGCTCAAATAACAGGTTAGGGGCTGTGAGGATTTATCTTAATTGTGTCAGCTTGATTGGCTTAAAGAAACAGTGTGCATGGGTGGGTCATGGAGGTTCTATATATGGTATCTGGCCCTTTCTTCTCTAGCACTGTTTCCTTGCTCTCCTTCTCAACCTCCACCAACTAAGCAGCTTTGTTCCACCATGTTTCTGCCTTGGAACAAGCCAACCACAAATTGAATTGTCTGAAACCAAGACCCAAGTTAAACCTCTCCTGCTTTTAAGCCATGGGTTTCAGGTAATATGTTCTATCAGCAGGAAAGCTGACCGATACAGGAACCAAGTAACCAAAGCAATTTGACCAAGAGAAAGGTAAAGGCTTCATACATTCTGATTTCAAATTATATTACAATCCTGTAGTAATCAAAATAATCTAGTGCTGGCATATAATTACACATATGGACCAATAGGAACAGAGTAGAGAGCCCAGAGAAACATCTATGCATATATGGTCACCTGATCTTTGACAAAGGTGTCGAGAATAGACAATGTGGAAAAAGTAGTCTCTTTAACAAATGATGTTGGGAAAACTGGATATCTACATGTAGAGAATAAACTGGTCCTTTATCTCATACCATAGACAAAAATCTAGTAAAAGTTGGTTGAAGACTTAAACAAAAACTAAAACCATAAAATTCCTGAAAGAAAATATAAAAGAATCTTCCTGGCATTGGCTCTTGCAATAATTCCTTAGATATGATATCAGAAGCACAAGCAACAAAAGTAGTGGGGTCACATCAAACTAAAAAACTCCTACAAAGGAAACAATCAACAAAATAAAAAGTCAACTACAGAATGGAAGAAAATATTTGCAAACTATATATATGATAGAATTAATATCCAAAATCTATAAGGAACTCCTATAACTCAATAGCAAAAATGAAAAAAATAAATAAATGCTTTTAAAAGTAGGCTAAAGATCTGGACAGACATTTCTGCAATGATATCCTACAAATGCCCAGCTTTTCAGGTACATGATAAGTTGTTCAACATCATCATCTTCATCATCATCATGGAAATCCAAATAAAAATCAAAATGAGGTATCACCTCACAACTGTTAGAATGGCTATTACCAAAAAAATTTAAAAAGCAAACATTTTTAAATATGGAGAAAGGAAAACCCAATATACTATTGGTAGGAACCTAAATTGATACAGCTATTGTGGAAAACAATATGGAGGGTGCTCAAAGGATTAAAAATAGAACAACCATATGACCCAGAAATCCCACATCTGGATATAGGAGTTGAAATTAAGATCTTGAAGATACACCTGCATTCCCTCCTCCATTGCAGCATTATTCACAATAGCCAAAACATGGAAACCACCTAAATGTCCATTGGTGGATAAATGGATAAAGAAAATGTGGTGTATAGGAGGAATAGAATATTATTCAATCTTTTAAAAAGAAGGAAATCATGCCACTCGCAAGAAGACTGATGAACCTGGGAGACATTTCGCTAAATGAAATAAGCCAGACGCAGAAGGACAAATCCTACATGATCACACTGCCATGAGGAATCTTGGAGTCAATATCAGTGAGATAGAGTAGAATAGTGATTGCTGGGGGGTGAGATGGGGAATGGGAAAGTATTGGAAAAAGGGCATAAAATTTCCAGCAATGCAAGATAAACAAGTCCTAGCCATCCCTGCTCTAGTTAACAATATTATACTTCATACTTAAAATTTTACTGAGAGTAGATTTTATGATGTGTTCTTATAACAAAATAATAACAATAAATGGAGCAGAAGGAAACTCTTGAAGGTGACAGATGTGTTTATGACATTCATTGCGGTGATGGCTTCACAGGCCTATGCTTATTCCAAATTTATCAATTTGTATGTATTAAATATGTGCAGCTTTTTGTATGACAATACCTCAAGAAGTGGTTTTAACAAAAAAGGATTAGAGCCTTCATAGAATGTAAAATTGCTGCATACATGATACCTCCAGTACACATTTACTTCCTTAATCTTTATAGTGTCCTTGCAGTGGTCAACAGTATGATCCCCACTTTCTGATGGAACCTCGGGCTCAGCAATGTTATTTGACTTGCCCAGAGCCTAGCATTTAAGGGGTAGAACTAGATGTCCAACACCGAAGCTTGTACTCTTTTTAAATTCTTCCTACCAAAGCCTATCATCTATGACATCTTTACCTCTTAACATTTCTTCCTCTTCCACATTTTCTGAATATCCTAAAATCCACAACTGATTTTTCGGGAGAAGGGGTGTAGAAATTGAGAAACAATCAAGTTATTTGAGTGCTCAGTGTTGACCTTGTACTCTGAAGACAAATATCCTTTTGTCAACATATACTGTTTTCTCCATTTCATTAAAGTGGAATGTTGAAAACAGTGCCGGGCAGAGGAGGCATGAATGTATGCTCACTGAATGATTTATTAAGGAAAAAGTGGCAGTTTAAATACACCTTTCTCTGACTTAAAGACATCATATTACAGTGATATATGTATACCTATTTTTATAGCAATACAATTTATAAGAGCTAAATCTTGGAAGCAGCCTATAGGTCCATGAATAGATGGATGGATAAAGAAAATGTAGTATTTATATACAACGGAGTACTACTCTGCTATAAAGAAGGATAAATTTGAGTCATTTGCAGGAAAATGGGTGTGCCTTGAGACCATAATACCAAGTGAAATAAATCTGACACACACGCTTACATTTAGTGTGGGTTCTCTTATATGAGAAACCTCAAGTATAAATAAATTACAGAGCAAAATAAAAGGTAGGTAATAGGAAATACGGAGATACCTATACCTTTTGCAAATAGGAAGGGGACCAAGCAAGATATGGAGGGAGGAGAGAGGGAGGGAGAGAGAAGGGATACTAAAATGTGTTTGGTACATGTATCAACTCCCCACAATGAATGTAATCATTATGTGCTGCAAACAGGTACTAATAAAACTTTTTAAATTAAATAAATAAATACACCTTTCTCCCTTGGATCTGTTCAGCTAAAATTTGATGTCATAGCTCCTCTGGTCCTCAGGGAGCTCACCAGTAGAGACATTCAGAAACCCTAATGCTTCTGTGTTTAAGGAGGCTGGAGGTGAAAGAAAGAGGAAAAATAAAGATCAAGGTACCTTATTACCAGTATGGAGAGTTGAAATTACAGTGTGCAGAGACTGGCTATGCAAACTCTCAGCAGATATTGGCATGCTCAGCTTCTCCCTTAACTTTGTCTACCCCCTATCCTATCTGCAAGGAACTTTCTAGAAAAAAGCCTCCTTCCCCAAGGAGGGGAAAAAAAGCTTTACTGCATCTTGAGATGTATTTGATACCAAGCCAGAATAACTCCAAAAATAGTTCATCCTAGTGAAACCCTTGGCATTCTGGGAAGGATCTTGAAAACTTATGATCCCCTGAGCCCTCAGACTCCCTACAAGGGCATCTGTCTAACTTTTCAAGCCTTGGGCACCTGGTTTGGGGGAGTGATTTTGAGCATAATGTTAACCATTGGGTGCATAATAATACAAACGAGCTGGTGAATGTTGGTTGTTGTTGACCAATGGGGCGTGGACCTCATTTTCTTGGGGTTATGGCAAAATTAATGGTTTACAGCACCTTTAATTTCAAAACTCTCCGGTAAATGCGTTCTTGGATGACAATTGCCAATTAGCCCTGACCACACTCCCTTCTGGTAGCGGTCTGAGGTTGCTTTGCTGCCTTCCATCAGAAAATTACTTCAAATTTTTAAAAATGAAATTGAAAACTACAGACCACAATTGTGCAAAGTTGTCAAAGTCTTGCAACTCAACTCCTCTTCACAGAGCATTGGTTTCCCACAAGAGGGACGCTGCACTTTATGAGTAATTGCTGGGACAGCTTTCCCGAGAAGCTGGGAACTCAGAGACCGGGCTGTACCAGCGCCTACACCGCCATCCACCGGCCTCGAGCAGGTGGCGCAGACGGCGGCCCCGCCGCGGCATCCCGGGAACCGAGTTCCCACGGGGCCAGACCGACAACACCCGCTCCAGCCCGCCGGCTCCGCACGCTCACAACTGGCGCTAGTCTCAGCTCAGCGCGGCTGGGACGCTCGCGCACCCCGCGGCCTCCGGGGCCCTAGAGACGCGAGGGCGAACGGCTTCACACCAGTCTTTGCTCCTGCTGGTTCGGGGCAGTGAGGACCGTCCCGCGGTGCCCTTCCTTTGCTTTGCCTGCCCAGTGAGGGGCAGACTGTCCCTTCCCCGGACTGGACCAGAGCCCGCCAAACCCCAGCAGCTCCGAACCCGCGCTCCCGGAGCCGGCTGTGCCTGGACGGGTAGCCGCGAGCCCCGGAAAGTTTGCACACAGGGGACACAGACGGCCCCAGCACCTGCCGGCGGGCGGGTTCTCGGGAGCCAACGCTCAGAACGCTCCCGGGAGCCAAGTGGTGGCCAGGGAGCCAGGCGCGGATCCGGGCGCTAAGCTTACGTCTTAAGGAGAGGAGCTTACGTCTGGGGCGGGTGAGGCGGCCGCGCAGTCCTTCCAGCTGCCAGGCGCCTGCGACGGGGGCGCAGAGGGCGACCCGGGGGGCTGCGAGGGGCGCGTCCCGACGGCTTCACCTGCAGCCTCCACTGGCGCCCGCGCGACCCCCAGTCCCCTGGCTGCGAGGAGGGAGCCGGGCGGAGGGGGTACTCCGCACCAGGGCCTGTAGGGCGCCTGGCGAGGAACGCAGGACCTCCAGACCCGGCCGCCGCCGCTGCTCACGGACACACTGCCCATGACTCGGTGATTGCTCCCGGGACGGCCGCGGGGCGCCGAGGGCCGCACTGCGGAAGAGCTCACCGACGGCCAGGGAAGGAGGTGGCCCCGGGGGAGGAGGGACGGAGGCGGGAGGGCTGGCCTTGAACTCGCCAGGTCTCCGGGGCCGCGCAACCTGCCTTGAGGGAGGGGTGCGGATGGCGGCTCTTACCCGTTTCGGGGCCCCGGCTCGGCGGTAGCGTTCTTCCGGAGCAAGGGCAGGGCACCGTTTCGGGAACATGTCTCGCCTAATCCTGCCCACTCCTATCTCGGTAGCTTTTCTCTCCTGTACGGGTCCCTGAGAGAGGCACCTCGGATGCCTTTCTCTTCAGTCAGGAAGAGACAAGTTGTACTTCGGGGGACAGGAGCTTCATAATTTGTCTGTTCGACAGATCCCACCCGCGGACCACTCCCTCCCTTGCCTCACGTCTTGGGCTGTACCCGTAACAGTCCTGGATGACAAAGCCTCCACACCCCCGCCCCCTTTTGCATTCAAGGAAGTTTCTCTTCAGAGGCAAACTGAAAGCCAAGGGTCTGAACTCTCCCAAAATCTTACACTACTCGGGCAGCAGAAAAGGACGGGACAGTTAAGTTTGGACTATGAAAGAGAATGGAGGGGAGAAGAGTTTGTTTCCAAATTCTCCTTATCATAGCCTACCATTTCCTTTTCGCCATTGTAGCCAAGCAAGTCAAAACAACTGCAGGCACTGACAAATACCACGTTATTTTTTAAAAAGATTTTACGTTTTGAAGGCAAGTATTATTTGCATTAGGCAAATGGAAATTTGCTTTCTGTTATAAGTTTTGTAAAGAAACTGCATTTGCAAGACTGCCTGAGTCTTTGCCCGGGCGGCAGGGACAGGGTAGAACCCAGTTTGCGACCATAAACCTCCTTTGGGATTTTCTGATTCAAGGAGTCAGGAAACGCTGCCTGTCATTCACAAGCAGCCTTTTCCTAAACCAGCATCAGGAGAGCACTGAGGTACTCAGACTGCAAAGGTAACTTTACCATTTGATGATCCAGGCAACCGTTAAATGTTTGGGAAAAAAGAAGTTCATTGAATTTTTCTTAGAAATGATTTTTTAAAATCCAATTTCAGTCAAGGAAACTTTAAAAATTCATGAAGTTATAGAATAAATCTATCTTCATTATTCAGAGGAGGCACAAAATGTCATTATAGTCAACAAAATGTGTTTCTTGACTACTAAAAGTTATACATTTGAGAAATGGGGAGGAAATTGGTATTTTGTTTTTGAAATGAGATACAATGTGGAAAATGTTGGGTCCCTGAATGGTTTGAAAACTGATTCCATGTTCTAACATGAGACCCAGAATGCAGTATCTGACAAGTTTATAATTCAAACAATTAAGCTTATTATGTGCAGCATCATATTTTACATGCATTTTTTTTTACTTCAGACCAACCACTGTGAGGTAGGTGCAATCATAATCTTTATGTTAGAGATTTTAGAAAGCAGAGAGATTTAAAGTAAGCAGTTATCTCTATTATGTAAAGACAGTAAGTAGGTGCCCTGGTATTCCCAGAGACAGTGTGATTTCAGGATTGTGTTCTTGCTAAAATGCTACCTCATCACCACCAATCACCCCCAGGGCAGCCAAAATGAGAATCAAGACCCTAAGAAATTCATCTGCCAGCTCCACTATGGGCAAGTGACAGTAGTCTTTCTGGGCCAGTTAACTCAGTCTATGAAATGAGAGCACTCACTGAATTCAATCACCAAGGCTTCTACAGAAATTCTGAACCATGTGTGAGTTTCTATTTCATTTCCTTTCTTTTCCACTTTCTGCCCTCTAGTGGAGGTGGCTACAGGAACTTTGAAATTAAAATAGCCCTCTCTTCCATTACTACACAGTGTTCCTGAGAATTAAAGCTGATTGCACTGATGGTGCAAAGAATTCCCTATACTTCCTTTTGTGAGGGAAACCAACTAGCTTTAGTTACCAAGAGCACCAGAATGAACATTTGAAGTAGGTATTCATTGCCTGAGGGTGATGATGTAAAAAGTGAAGGTAAAGGTGCACTTCTGGATTTTTTGTGATGAACTTAAGTCTCAAAACATAGTCAAACTAATTTGAATATGCAATGTGTTCATGGCAATCTTTAAAGGCCTGTTTCAATTTAAAGTGACAACCATCTAGTTTTTAAAAATAGTTTTGAAAAAGAAACATTTCTAGGTCTTTGGAATTTTTATTATCTAGCATTTGAAGCATATATCCAACTAGTTACAAGGGAGGAATCAAAAGATGAAGTGAATGTTTAATAATAAAAAACATATTCCAGAAAAGGACAATTGCCAAGAACAATGGGATAAGTGTGTTCAAAGGGGGTATTTTGAAGTCTGAGGTGGGTAAATGGCAATGTCTTTTACTGTAATAAATTTCATAAACATTCACCATGTTTTCGATTACCCCTTGTTGAGCAAACATTTATGGCAATTCTGGCAAATAAAAACATTATGGTGTGTCCTCTTCCACCTTATTCTCCCAACCTGGCACCATGCAACTTCTGGCTCTTTTCCTCTAAGGGCTGAAGCTCAGAAAGTCACCCTTGGCAATGAGCTGACCCCTACATGTGTGACCCTTCTTTCCTACTGCTACCTTAACCTGGCTTAGTCCTTAGTTACCTGCTTACTTGGAGGGACCCAAGAATAGAAGCAGAAGCTTCTATTGTACCAAGCATTGAGAGAGAAAAAAATCCTTGAAAGGAAATTGAACACTTTGAATCTCTCCATGTTGGGTCTTTAAAATTTCTACAGGTTGCTGGGCATGATGATGCACATCTGCAATCCCAGCACTCAGGAGGCTGAGGCCCACAATTTTAAGGCCAATGTGGGCTACACAGTGAGTTCAAGGCCAGCCTAAACTATATAGTGAGACCTTGAATCAAAAAAATAAAATTCTTATGAGTCACCTTTAAACACTAACAGAGATACATCTATATTTGAAATCTCCAACATTTGTAGCCTAACAAACTTCTATACAAAAAGCAAGTTCAATGAAATTGTGTCTCAATAAAGTTCCTTTGGCAATTTCAATAACAGTTACACCTATTCAGTAGTTTAAACTTAATTCAGGTGTTAATAGTAAAACTGAAGTAAAAACACTAGGTGTGCACAGATCTAAATGTTTAAAGTGAAAAATCTTAAAAGATTTCAATATAAATTCCATAAATTTCAAATAGGAAGCTAAAACACTATTTTTACATTGTGTAAGGCATAATGTAGAATGTTACACTGTGCTAAGGTCACAGGTAAATAGGAAACTAAGACCACAGTGTTCACAATTTTATCTATGCCATTCTTGGTGGTTATTTGTTAACTTTTTCATTTTCTTCTTTAGCTCAAACTAAAGCATAAAGGACAATTTGTAATACTTTCAAGGCCAATTAGATAAGTATTTAGACATTTAGCCTCACTTCACCTTTATAAATTTTTTATTAGTCCATGTTTGTGGTACATACTACTCCTCACTTATCATGGGCAGTGTACCTGGCACATCTGAAGTTTTTTGTTCCCTACCTCTCCCTTCCCTCCCTTTTCCTTCCAACTCTTGGTCCCCTCCCCATTTGACAAAACTATTTCCATTTTTGTCTCTTTTTTGTGGTTCATCCCTTTTCCCTCCCCTCCCTCTCTCTTTCCAGCTCTTGTTCTTCTTCCCACTTGAAAAAGATCTTACCTATCTATCTTTTGTTTTGCTCTTTATATTTTGGGTTTCTCACATAAGAAAAACCATGTGATATCTAAGCTTGTGTGTCTAATTTTCTTCACTTAATATTATGGTCTCAAGGTGCATTCATTCACCTATGAATGCCTCTATTTTTTATTTTTTGGTGGTACCAGGGATCGAACTCAGGACCTTATGCTTTTGAGGCAGGTGCAGTACCACTGAGCTAAATCCCCAGCCCTAAATATATTTTCTTTATCCATGTATCTGTGGATGGACATATAGGCCATTTCCAAAATTTAGGTATTAGAAACTGTGCTGCTATAAACATGGGTATGCCTGTATCACTGTAATATGATGACCTTAACTCCTTCAGGAAGATACCTAGAAGGGGAATAGCTGGTTAAAAAGAATTTCTATTTTTAGTTTTTAGAGGGATCTTCATATTGTCTCCATACTCATTTCCACAGTGGTTATACTAGTTTATACTCCCACCAACAATGCAGAAGGATTCTGTTTTCCCCACAACCTTGCCAGTATTTGTTATTATCTCATTTCTTGATGGTGGTCATTCTTTTTGGAGATGAAACCTCATTGTTGTTTTAATTTGTATTTCTCTAATACCCAGCAGTGTTCAATAATTCATGTATTTATTGGCCACTTGTATTTCTTCTGAGAAGTGTCTATCCTCGCTCCTGTTCCATTCATTCCACTTCAGCTTATTACGCAGCAGTTTCTTCAGTATCTTCATGTCATTCATCCAGGGCAATGGGGAAGCCATGAGAACAGCAGTCGCATGTCACTGAATCTCAGTGCTACCTCAACTCCAGCCTGGAGAGCCTCCTGACTTACCTCCCCCCACCCCATCCTGCTTTTGCCCCACTTTTACCCTCCTTTGTCCCGTCTTATAAAACCGCAGCCATCTTAAAACCTTCAAGTTCTGTCCACTGCAACTAGGAACATGCCTCAACTCAGAATGTGAATTTCACACCAGTCCTTCCATCTGGTCCTCAGCCATGCCAAGCATCTGCCAATTTATAGACTTCGTACTTAAGGCTTTCTCTGAGACTTTTCCCTCAGAACTCAAAGTGGAGGTATTCAGGTCACGGCTCAAATGCCCTGATCTCAGACCAAATTAACTCTTCTAAATTAGCTAACGTCCCTGCTTCTATCACTTTCTATACCTGTTATGGTTGTTAACTTGCGTGGGAATGCCCAGCTGGATGGAGGCAGCATGGTTCTCAGCAGAGAAGACCAACTTATGGAGGCTTGTTGTCTGAACAGTATAAAAGGAGAATGGGAGGAAAGATTACAGCTGATTTTCCTTGGAAGAGCTTCGTTCCAGCTGCTTTTCTTCAGAGGAACTCTTGTCTTTGCCTTCACTTCGGATGTCATCTCTTGGCTTTCAGTGCAGATTCTTCAGCTTGCAGCATTGGACTTCCAGCCTGCTCGTGCAGACTCTTACCACCAGCACCAGCCCTTGGGCTTTCCAGTACAGAGCCTTCAGTCTTCCATCGCAGATTCCTCAGCCTCCTAATACAGACTTGCATGGCACACTGCCATGGGCTCCAGGCTTTCGGCTAGATTCTTTGGATTTCCAGCTCATGGACAGATCTCTTTCAGTCTTATACATTTGACTGTGGGAAGATATTGTCAGCTAATCTTGTAAATTTCTTAGCAGCAACCTGATAGGATCACCATTATCTGCAGTATCTAGATAGTTCTTGTCATAAAAGAAACATATCTGATAACTCAATGAATGAATAGCTGTGACTTTGGATAAATTAAGCTCTGAGCTGGCCAAATAAAAAAACAACAAACAGTTCAATTTATCATTCATTTAATTTCCTTCCTCTGCTCACTAAATTCTTCCCCATAAAGCAGGAGGAAAAATGAAAAAAGAAAAACTTAACATGAGCAAAAGTACAACAAACAACTGACATAAATTAGGCTTCAGGCTTGTTTAATCAGCCAATATTCTCATATACATGAAAATGGATTCACACACAAATCCTTGGTCATATTTAACATTCATTTTGGTTAGAGCAGGTCCTATCTTGAGTGTATGGATCTGATTTAGAGATTCCAACATACCAACTCAGTAACTCCACTATTAAGAAAGGTATAAAACAAAAACAAAAAAACCCTCAAAACATAAACCAATAAATGAATGAATGCCCTTTCCGCACATATGCCAACATTTGATTAAAAAGAATGACATTAAAAATTTTCCAGATAAACCTAAAATTTTTTACAATCTTCCTTTGAATTCCTGATTAAAAATACACTTCTACCACTTTTCAGCTGGATACTTTTTAGCATCAGTTACTGAATTCCACATCAAGTACAGACTAAAATTTTATATATTGATACTAATGTCTAACCTAAAATTATAGGCTCCTAGATCTTTTAAGTAATAACAAATATTCTACATTAGAAATTTGGTATGAAAAGTTTTAATGAAAATATTAATCATACAAAAATTAAATAGCAAAACTACTTAAAATGACATACAATTTCAACAAAATTGGCTGTTATTTGTTTTCATAAGAATTATTTCTAGCTACCATCTACCTAAAATTGTGGTAAAAAGAAATGAGAATTCCATACATAAACCCTGTGCTCAGCACATATTGCTCATAAATATTAGTTTTTCTTTTATTAGCTTTAAAAGATACACACAAGTTTTACAAAACATGTCAACTTCAGTTGAAAGCTACTTGCACAGGAAACAGCCATATGTGAGGAACTTAGCCTGGCATTTGTGGAAACATCTTTTCTGAGGAACACACTATATAAAATTTATTCCTCACTCACTAACTTCTAAAATCTAATAAAGCTTCATGTTACATTTTAAGAGGTTTTTTAAAGAATCACTTTTTTAAAAATGTACAAAGTTACATAATCAAGAAAAGTACTAAGTAACTGAAACATTGAGAAATATCCCTTTTACTGCACATATGGCTCAGTCAGTTTCATCTGAATTTAAAAAATAAAAACTGATTTGAAATATTAAATGAAACAACTAAGTTACTACAAAGAAGCACAATGAATGACAAACATGTAACTCTGACATATGAAATACTTTACAATTTCAGTCATGCTTTTACTTTAAACAGTGTTATACTGCCCCTTCTAGCATACTAATTAAGATAAAGCCTAACGTTCTGTCCTATCAACAACTGGAGGAGAATATAGAGATGAATGTGAACATATATTATTTTCTACAATATGCCTTGCCTAATATCACAAACTTAACAATTTATCTAAATTCAATCTGAGGTATATTAAAAGATGAAACATTGTATTTAATCCATAACACGGGCGATGTACCATGCAAACACTACCACTGCAACTCCACACACTGAAAGAAAATAATATTTGTATTTTTGCCAAAATGATAGCTCAACTGCCACTTCATCTCTTTTTCTGTTCTTCTTCCGACGACCCTTCAGTCTGTTTTCAAAAGCCTCCAGTTCAGCCTAAATCAAAAGTTTAATTTTTATTAAATTCAATGTATACATTTATTGGAAACTTTCCATCTAAATGAAAATAAATCAATTTGGAAATATTTGAACAGTAATGATATAAATATGTTAACCTGATTGTAACACCTCTCTCCACTGCTGACTGTATTCAATAAATTGAGAATTAATTTAGAGAGGCAGAAAGGGATCTGGAGAGTGACAACAGATTATTTCAGAATGCAGGGCTAACTTTAAAAATAAATATTAAAGCAGCTGATTAAATTGGGGACCTATAAAATATAGACATCAGTTTTATACTTCAACACCATCATATTTTAGTAACAGCTCCTTAGAAGTGCTAAGGTATGGCCAGTGAGAAAATAAACTTACAACCATTTTTTGCAATTCAAGAAATAAATACTAGTGGTTTTAGTGAAGAAATTCAAATGAGTAATGAGAAAAAATAATTTAATTTTTCTCTTTATCAAACATTTTTTTTAAATACAGTAAAAATTCTTCAAGGAATAAAGATGTTTATACTTTAGTGTAAAAATTAAAGAACTAAAAGTAAGTTTTAAAAAAATAACTGGGTTATAGTCATCAAATGTGAATTTTTATTCTACTGCTAAGTACTTATTAAACTTCTATATACTATGATATTGTATGACACACTATAGTTCATAGTTACTAAAATGAGTTATTGACAAAAATATATGAGTCTGTAAATTTTTATATAATAGAAACAAATGTAAACTTCAGTTAATGTACTCATTAACCATAAAACATAAATGAAAAAGGCCTAACAGTATACTTCATTTAATATAAAGTAGCATTCTTTCATGAGCAAAAAAACCAAACTATTCCCAAGTGGTTGTTACAGAGAGAAAAAAGTCAAAATAGCTTAAAAGCAGCCAAACTTGAGGACCACTGACAGTAAAATAATTGATGCTAAAATGATGACCCATAGTTTACAAGTAAACATTAGGTTCTACACATTCTGCTGAAAGTCAGTAAATAGGAATATATTTTAAGATTTTCATCCATAATGGCCGATAAAATGTTGTTAGAGGATATCTTATTCTAATAATTTAATCTCCCAGGATTCCAGCCAACCTGTGTTTTACTATACAGTTATGACTCACCTGACATACAAACAACTTGGGTTAATTAGGTTAACGGAAGATTCATCTGCCTCTTGTTGTCTATAGCATCTACCCAGGTGAACATCCAGATCTCAGCTATACTGACAACCAACTTGAATTACAACCAGCCCTTGGGAACTGATCAAGTTTGAAAGTCAAAGGTCCACTGTATTAGCTTTTGTAATTTATTTTGGGGATATAGGCAAATCAACTGTACAGAATAATAAAACATCAGAGGTCATCTTGGCCAATCTTTGCCACATGAGTTGTTCTAATGTCCTCCCTAAGTCATACAAGTTTCAGCCCCTCATTCATAAAAGTGGTTAATTTATAAAGCATCTCAGGATGCATATTAACAAGTGTTAATTACACATCATATTAGAAAGTGAAGCCACTCTTTGGAGTATACAATCAGTATTTGAGCAAACAGGAGGTACCAGGAATGTACTTGTTTGCTAGGTCACACAGAAGACAGTCTTACATTTGAGGATCTAATGGAGATAATAGGGAATATATTATTGAAACAAATGTAGTTTTTGCAACTCAGTAGAAAACCTCATATAGTTTAATGTGAGTGAAGACATGGGCTCCAGAAGATGACTTACAATGATGATATAACACCCTCTTTTCTACTCCCCCATCAAAATAAGACTTAAAACTCTTATGGCTGGAAAGTGAATGAAATTGACAAGGAAGTAAATTGGAGAGATAGAAAATATTTTGGAATATGCAAGATCTATGCTTTCTGTGAGTTTCAGAATACCTGAAACGAGGTAAATAGATGGTTCGTTTTTGTTTTATAGGAACTATGTTATATTCAGTTCAGATTAGAATTGAACAGCTCATTTGTATTTGGCATATACCTTATGTTTCCACAAAATTAACAATGAAGCCAAGAGCCACAGACATTAAGAAACATAAATTATTTTGTTCAGTTACCTGTTGTCTTCGTCTTTCCTCTTCAAGAGCAGCTTTGGCTTCTGCTTCTTTTATCTATTTATATGCATTTAAAAACAAATTGAAATTTTAATTATCAAATTTTATAGAGAATTTTAATATCTTCTCACCCAGGGTCTAATAACCTACAGCAAATTTTGGAAGTCTCATATTGGAAATTGCATAAAGAAATGTAATACTATACTGACAAGTTTTACCAAGACACAATCTAATAGATTGAGAGTGGTAGTGAAGGGAGCGTTACTCCTCAAATATTTCCCCTTAAGTATATTAGACATTACATCACAGTTCTAAGTGTTAAAACACTGTAAACTGAAATAATTTGAAATTCTAAGTTTCTCCCTTAAGTTACCATATTAAGAATCTAGAATCAAGTATTAAATATTAAAATTCCCTAGAGCTGAAGTTGACCATTTCAAATGCTTTATCCGGAAGGGAATCCTTATAGTTTTTAACAAAATCAGGAGTTTATTCATTGATTGGGTTGACAGAGGAAAACAATAACATGAAAAATACCCCCCAAATCCTCCTTTGTATTCTTTTCATCTAATTTCCAGGAGACTTATGCTAGCATTGAAACAAGTGACTGTGACCCAGAGCAAACTAACTGCATGAAGGATGAAAACTTGGACAATGAAAGGATGGACAATGAAAAACAATGCCCTGGATTCAAAATAAGCTCATAAAACTAGACTTTTATAATAAAAGCAAAAATATGAGATTTCAAGTTTTTTTAATAAGCACATAAATAAATGCACAAAATAAATAGAGAAAAGCCATTATCACATTTAAAAAGATACTTAAGATATTACCTCGGATGCTTTCCGTTTCATTTCCTTGCATGTTGTGTCACATTCTATAGAAACCTGATTTTCGCGTACTTTATTGCATTGAAATTCCTACAGATAATCCAAATTTCAAATTTTAAATGATCTTTCCTTCAAATTCACAATTGTATCCATTAAAAAACTGATATATATATTTATCATTAATGTTTAATGATGTTATGCTGATAAACATAAAATATCTTTGGTTCAAATGGTGATTACGCCTTTATTTTCTCTCAGCTAAAAAAGCGAATATTAAATTAAAATAATCCATTTAATAATTATTTACTAGGTGCCACTATCAACTTGGCCCATTTTATTTTTATTCTTTATTTTTCTTTACTGTCTTTTGTTATTCCTCTACCTTCCAGGGAATAAAATGTTGCAGAACAGTTCTACCTAACACAGCTTTCTGGGATAATAGAAATGCTCCAAATCTGTACTATATAGAAGAGTAGCATTAAGTACACACGGTAACTGAGCTCTTAAAATGTTACTAGTGCATCTGGGGAACCAATCAAATACTTAATACATGAAACAGTATTAACACGAAATATGGTAAATCAAAGATCAGCAAAAAACAAAGTTTCAAAGGAATCCAGGCTGCCATATGCCAACAGGGAAGTCCAAGAAAAAAAACCACTATCTTTTCCTTCACAAGTTTTGTTGAACTGTATATGATTTGTTTCCACTGTGCCTTCCAATCATTAGTCTTCACCTGTTTACTCCTCATTTCTGTTTCTTTACCTTAAAATTAATTCTTTCCAAGTTTCAGTGTTATTTTTTTAGGAAGCCATACATGTGAGGTCTTTCAAAAGAAACGTTTTCAAAAGATAATATTAATGGCAAAAAAAGTTTCATGCGTTAGAACAACAAAGTTTAATTCCAGACCATTTCTTAAATTATGAAACCCACTTTATCACTCAAAACGTGTTGCTCCTTCAGAGTCCTCACATCTAAAGCACACTGATTCTCTATCCAAGCATGGAGCTTGGTTCCAACAGAAAACAATCTTTGTTAAATTGAAGAAAATTAAGTTGCCAAAGCTGATTTTTAAAAATAAGCATTTACAGAAATAGGCTCTTTTTAATTATAACAAAAAAGGTTCTATGGCCGGGGATTTAGCTCAGTAGTTTTGCCGCCTGCTGTGCAAGTGCAAGGACCTGAGTTCGATCTCTGGTACCAAAAAGAAAAAAGATTCTAGAAAGACTCAAGATGAAAAGACAAAAAAATAAAACAAAGAACATACCGACAAAGCCAAACAAAATAAGATTAATTTACAAAGAAAAGTATTTTCAATTACTTAGAATACGTACCTTTTTTATTCTTTTACAAGGACATCTAAGTTTAACTTTCTGGTTGCAATTAAAGGGACACTGACCAGGATGACACATCTCTTTGCATCTATGACCACAAGGAAGCTAAAATAAAACCAAAATAAATCAACTGCATATTTACATTTTGGTAATATTTCACAGCAGGTCTCATGGCCACCTTTGTAGCTAGTTATAGCCATGCGACTAAGGATCCAGTCAATGGAATGTGTGCCTAAATGTACTTCCAAACTGTTACTTCATGTATTGGAAATGAGAAAATCTGCAGCAATAATGAAAACTATGTCAAGGGGCAGAGCTGCCTGGCTGGCTGGATCCCTGGAGGAGTAACATATGAAACACAGTGACACAGCTATCACCCCTATACTATTATATGAGAAAAAAACTTCCTCATCCTTAAGGTACTGTGTTGTGTTATAAATAAATGCTCATTTTTTTACTCTAAAACATTTATCCTTGACATTATGTATTAATACATATTGTTTAGGTAGTAAAAACAACTCAGAAATTGCCAGGATGTCTAAGTGCTCCTTATCACTTACTACCTTCCTATTCCAGTCAAGCTTTCAGATGAAACATTCACTCCCTTTGTCTATTCAAATCTTATTCACACTTACTGACATAGCTTAAATTACCACAGTGAGTTTGCATATGCAAACAATAAATCATGTAAGAGCTCTAAGATGTTGTAACACTGCTTGTACTGTCTTGAACTGTGATCACACACACACAGCTTTTTTTTAGGCCCTTTCTTTTTTTTTTTTTTCTTTTTTTTTAAACAAGTATGGAAATCATCGTATGTACCAACATCTGGAATTGGTTCATCCAAAAGATCCAGTAGGTGTGTAGAACTATTAATGCTGCCTCCATTTGTCATTGTATAATGAGTTCCAACTGCTGTGTCACCATCTAACAAATTATCATCTTCAAAAGTCTGAAAGTCCATAATAACACCTGCTCCATCTAAAAGTTCCTCATCACTACTTGCACTTGTTATACTGTTGTAGCTGTTTCTATAGTAGCCTCTATGGAACAGCTGCTCAGACTCCATTTAGCTCTCTGATTATCTCGCAGCTCAGAGGCATAGCAAAATCGGTGGCTGTTTTTTGTGCTGCCTTTGGATTCTGCATCTGTTTCAAACCTAAAACCTAGCTACCCTGGGAGGTTCGCCTAGAGAAAGCTTGACACACAACGAAAACTACTGCAATTTTCTACTGAAGAGGTTACATAAATTTTGCTAGGTGGGATTTTTTTTTTTTTTGTCCTCTTTCATACACGGGAGCAGCATTAAGTTAAATCCTCTTGCTATGAAGGACCCTAGAGTCAACCTGCTTCTCTCCAAAATTAAAAATAAAAATCCCCAACCTCACTTCCCTCTCAAAAGACTAAAATTGAATCCATGGTCCAACTCGGGAGGAAAGTAGGATGGCTTTCAAGCCACCAAACCTCCCTTCCTCATTTTCCAGCCTGATTCCGGGTTGCGGGCAAACTAGGGCTGAAAAGGGGGCTGTGGTTCTGGACCGGAACGGCCCTGACTCACGGAAAAGGAAGAGAGGCAGCAGGAGTCCGGAGTCCGACAGGTACGTCGCTAGCCTAGGCACTTTCAAAATACACTATCAGTCAGATTAATTTCAAAATCAGACTATCTGGAAATGAATCACAGATTCTGTTTACTAACTTAGAGACCTTAGTCAAGTCACCTGGCTCTTCTGTTTCACATGTAATACCGTGATGAATAACAGCACTTTCATAAAGCTGCTGTGAGGATTAAACTGTGTTCAGGATTTGTGGCTATTACACTCAAAGTTATTATTATAAGTTACTTGAGGGCAATGGTCTTCAAACTACTGACTCTACTCACTTTAAGAAATTCAAAATCCCTATCTTATAGTATGGCAGAGTATCGCTAGAGAGTGAGTTTTACTCTAGGCACTGCTGGACCACTTCAGTTTTGTTATTCCCTACACAGGTAACACGAGGCCTTGAACACTGCATAACCAGCACAATATTTATCCACATATCAAACACCTAGCACCCAATGGTTATTTGAAGTCTTTGTGTTCCTTAACTTTAGTCTTACAGTTCCCACAGTGCCTATAGCCTGATTTCATAAAGAAGCCACACATTAGGCACTGGGTGACCACCTACCCTCTTTCCCCTCAAAATATGCCTCTATACCTTCCTGTGCTTTCCTTACTCTCTGAATTGCATCTCCTCTGAAAATAGCTGTATACGTAACTCGTAATCAATGGTTCTAGAGAGAAAAATGAAGAAGCAAATAAGAAATATTCCAAAAAAATTAAGAAAACCTTGCAAAACAATACTGTTTGCAGATAAATATCCATACTATTAGCTATGTGCCATAGCTAGCACATACACATTGCTTACTATATACTGGTACCTTTACAAACTGTTACCTCACCAAAACACAGAAAGCACCCTGAAATGGGAATTACTGCTCTTATACATGAGCAACTAGAGCTGCAGAGAAAGTAAGTAATTTGCCCAGGTAAAAAGTAACACAGCTTGCATGGGAATGATAAAACCAAATTCAGATATAAGTTTTGAAATTTGAAATAACACATGATGTCACTTACACGTAGAATTTTTAAGAAGTTGAACTCAAAAGTAGAAAGTAGAAAATGGTAGTTATCCAGGGCTAGTGTAGGGTCAGGGTGATGGAAAGATGTTAGTTGAAGGTACAAAATTTCAGTTAAGACAAGCAGAATAAATTCAAGAGATCTATTGTACAATATGATAACTACAGTTAACATCAAGGTATCATATTATGAAAAGAGATTTTAAGTACATTGACCACAAAAAAGTGAGGTCATACATAAGATAATTAGCTTGATAACTTTAATTCATATATATTTCAAAACATGATATATATAATAAATATAATTGTTTTTCAATTAAAATTTTTAAAGCTTTTAAAAATAATTTAAGCTGTGTTCTATGTGGATGCATTTGGTTTCTCTTTGTATCTTCTAAAGAAAAAAGTAGAAACACACATATATGGCATAGTTTCAAGATGTAGTTCTTAATGGCATCTTTGTATTTTCATTGAAATTCAAGCCTAGCTGGGTGTGGTGGCACACACATCTACAATTCAAGCAACTGGGAAGGCCGAGGCAGGAGGATCACAAGTTCAGCTTAAGCAACTTAGCAAGATCCTGGGGCTCAATATTTAAAAATGAAAAGGGCTGGGGATTGTAGCTCAGTGTGAAGGCTCTGGGTTCAACCTCCAGGACCACAAAATAATAGTAATAATAATTTTAAAAACTCATATCTAATTAAACCATCTACAAAACACAGAGCACAGTGTATATGCAGTGGAGCAGGAAGAATATGTCATGCCATTTCCACATTTCGTTTTTCATACACATTCAATAAACATTTACCAACCAGGGAGCCAGGTAGTAGATATAAACACAAATATGATGTCCCTGCCCACAACAAAGGTACAGTATGGAGAGGAGAGCAGGAAATAAATGGAATTTATAAGAACCGAGAAAATAAGTATCTACTACATTATAATTTATAAGAACCTTGTACCTTAACTTTTATTATAAGGTATCTACTGGATTCACAGTGACACATTTCTTTTATTATAGATTGAATCTGTGGTTCAGTGGTTCTCAAAGTGTGTTTCTGGGCCAAAAGAATCACCATTACTTATGAGTGTAACTCTTAGGCCCCACACTACAAAACAAGAAACTATGGGATAGGACTCAGCAATCTGTTTTAACAAGCCCTTGAAGTGATTCTGGTACATATTAAAGCTTCAGAATCACTACTGAAGCCTCACCGATGTCAAGAGGCCACAAACCAAAATGACTTCTACTGGACATAATAAAATCCACCCGTGCAGGCCTACATCATCCCAAACTATAAGCGCCATGTCAATTATCACATCCCAACCTATGGATCCATTTTCAAGGAAGTCCAAGGATACTCTAGCAAGACCAGGGAGCTCAGAATGACCTAAAATTCAAAATCATGAAAATGGGTACTAACAGATAATAAACTGCACCTGTTCATCTAGGCTCACCGAATATCACAACAGCATCACCACTCAATGATACACTGCAAAGCAAGAACTGAATATCATATTTCTACCTGCAAAACCATATCATTACTGAATCAGATTAAATGTAAAATATTCTCAGCTGTTTATCTGAGATCTGAACTAAGACAGAAGAAAATTTATTTTAAAGGAATTTTCAGATTTGAAGAATCCAGAAAATTAAATTTGAAATGTCTCATGCATTTTTATTTTCATTTATATAACTGACAAGATTATTAAAATAATCATTTATTGTTTGAAACGGTCTTTCCTTTCATAATCTTAAAATTCTCAGGTTCAATTTTCAAATTCTGAAATAGAAATAAAGTGGTTCAAATCTTGTTAAAAGGAAGCATTATTAACAAAAAGGCACACCATGCACTGATTGTTGTAGATTTAATCAAAGATTTGTATTTAAAACTTAACTGTCATCTCACACATTAGGTCAAGAAATATTCAGGTGATTGCAGAAAGACAAAGCTTACAGGAAAGAGGTACTATTTAGTACATTTGTAATCAAAAAGATTCCTTTTGAAATGTTTACTCAAATAACAAGGAGCACCGCCCTTTCAGATTAGTTCCATAAAATGAACTACTACCATTTCTCAAATTATCACTGGTTCGTTTTTTTAACTATTTTGTTTGTTTGTTTGTTTTTGGTACCAGGAATCAAACTCGGGACCTTGTGCTTGCATGGCAGGCACTAGAACCACTGAGCTAATCCCCGGTCCTTTTTAACTATTCTGAACAATTTTTTGAACCACTTCTGGTACTTTTATAGTTGGAATACAATGCTTGTATAAGCAACCAAACATTTTTTTAAAAAAAAACCACAACCTGCTGGGTATGGTGGTGCACACCTTTAATCCAGCACTTGGGAGGCTGAGGCAGGAGGATCTGAAGCCAGCCAGGGGTACACAGTGAGTTCAAGGCCAACCTGAACTACATAGCAAGACCCTATCTCAAAAAACCAAAAACAAAACAAAACCAAAAACCCACAACTTCCTATATGAATGCTGTATATTAATGATGAATGACACCAGTACCAAACGCCACAGTGAAAATGTACAAAAGTGTATCTTCTATGATAGCATCTTCAAAACACTGTGGAGGGGAATGTTTCTCATCCCACTCTTCCCCACTACACACATGCAAGCACACATACACATGCACACATTTTCTTTGTAATAACTTACTATGAGTCTACTCTCTACAGTAACTGCCTATAAGTCACATGGTTATTTCTCTTTGAAGCCTGAATTATGTTAGGGAGTTAACACAAGGTAAATATTTTATTTGCATAAATCCATCTTTAAAATAGTTTCTTTTAAAAAAATCTTCAAATGGTTATTCCTAGTCCTAATATCCCCAAATTCCATAAAGAAATGTGCATTTATCCTAACCACGTTACATTTTTACAGCCATGAATCACTCATGAGACTCACTAGAAAAGACCTGAAATAAGATGAACAAACAAGAAAGAGAAAGTCCCAGAGGAAAAAGTGCCCTAGGAGCCCAACTGAAAAGTTCCTATTACAGCTTACCTCTTTAGGGCACTGATTTTTGCAACAACTGAGGAGGTTCTTTTCATTTAAATCAGCTGTGGTTATTTTTCTAAAAACAGAGAAAGTTTTGATGATAGTCAAACCAAGTTGATTTCATAGCACAATTTTTCTAAAAATATGAGGAAAAAAGCTCTTGTAATTCACAATGTCAAATATATCCATAAGTATATTTCACTTTTCTTGACATATTTTATCTAAACAACTATCTTCAAATTACTTCATGTTCTGGTAATTCAAACTATCAAGACAACAAATCAAATATCAAAAAGGCAATTGCTATAAGAAGGAAGTACAAGACACACAAAATAGCATCCATACTTGGCATCTCTTATAGTTCTTCCATCTTTCCCTATGGATCAATCATTGTAACTTTTAACTGTAAATCATCATTAGAGACTACATAAAAAATTTAAAACTATTTAATATGTTACTTTAAGTTAAAGAACTCAGACTACCCAGTGAGAAATGCAGTAAGTGTATTAGAAAAGCTTTTTTTCAGTTGTTTTTGGGTATGCTATGAGGTATGACTGGAAAAGAGTTAATTTCAAATTTTTAAAAAATTACTCAAGACACATTACCATTAATGCCCCCCACTCCACACACACTTAGGTTATCATTCTTGCCACTTTCTAAAGCAGTTCTGGAAGTCCTCTTTCATGTCCAGTTGTGCTGTTGTGCTGCCTCAATTTTCTGAATCAATTCAAAATGTTCACCTTTCATTGCCACTTTGACTTTGGGGAAAGCATCAAAAGAGGCACAGTCCCAGATCCGAGTGAAACATCCATAATGTTTTTACAAGCCTGCTTTTCTGTTGGATGGCACTTGGAAACATTTTTATCCATATTTAGGATCATACCCCCAGAAAGATACTCAAAAAAGAGGATTCCCATATCTGCTTCAGAAAGTGCAGAATGATGAAATAAGTGTGTTCAAAGTGAGAGGAAGCATTTGGAGAGAGATTAATGGCATTGGGTCCTTCATTGTGGTATTTTTTTTTTTAAATCCACCATTTATTTTTATACCTTGTATTTACTAATGTAATGTTAGCAACTCATTTCAGTTCAGCTTTTGTTTTCATGTTTGATTCAGAAAGTCAAAAACATCAGAAAAAATTACTTTTTAGAAGAATTGCAATAGACAGTAACTAGCAAAAACTAAAATTCCCTATCATAAACATTTCATTTCCCTTTACCCATTACTTTCTTCTCCTTTCCTTTATTTGTCTTTTCCTGCTTTTCCTATTTCCCTTCACTAGACAAAACTGCCAAAGTAAACTATAAATTCAGCCTCACTAATGTTAATTAAAATTACTACATCAAACGTTTATATTAAGCTTTAAAATGTACTCTATAATTATATCTCAATTTTCCTGACAAAGTTTCACTTAATACTCTGAAGTATTTATACTGGCTCTATTAAAAATTGTTGCATATTCTCCATTCTTATAAGGATGGTGTTAACTTCTGAACTTAAAAGAGTAGCATCATTTTGTTCCTGTTACTCTATAATTTAGAATAAATTAGTTTTTCAAGCTTTGTGCCTTTTATGTCTACTTTCTAAAAAGGGATTTAGACAAGCTGAAAAGGACTAAATGGAAAAAACATATGAAGTAACTCACTGAAGTGAAAGTAAATGAAATTACAATGTTTTATATATAAAAACACAGTTTAATACATATTTGTAGAAAAAGAAATACCAATTTCTAGTAATTATTTCTCAAATTACCACTGTAAGTCTTTTCAGAGAGCTAGGAAAGTTCTGGATAAACTGAGCAGAAAAGAGAAGTGGGTACAGAGCTAAAATCACACCAAGAAAAAAACGTCCACCCTAGGTGGGAAAATACTACCAAAAGCCCCTGGTGAATGAAAGCATTAACTAAAGAGATAAGCCTTCTAAAAGCAGCACTCTGAAAAGAAGCATCTTTAAAAGATTACATGATGAAGAGGGAAATGAGCAAGAAGGGAAAATTAGAAACCTGAAAGACCAAAGAAAATAAAAAGACACTTAACACTTCCTCCCAACACCACACTAAGAAGTGTATTTCAAAAACTATATTTTGCTACACAGACAGAATAGAGGGACAAACAACCCAAAACCAGGACAGCTCTACCCATAAAAGTGAAGACATATTCCAGCTGATGAAAATCTCTTCCTACCTCACCATGATGCCAGCATACACAACCCCACCCCCCAATTCAGATTAAGTATTCCACATTCGAAAATCTGACTGGAGCTGATTTTGGGGTCAGGGATATTCAACATAGACTTTAGTGATTGAACACTCCTAATCCAAAATCTGACAAGCAAATATTCCAAAATCCAAAGAACTCCAAAAGCTGAAATATCTCTGTTCCCAAGCATTTCAGATGAAAGATGTTTAATCTGTATAGTGCAAAGAAAAAGAAAATGGGCTGGGCATGTAGTTCAAAGACATAGCATTCTGCCTAAAGTGCAAAAAGTCCTGGGCTCAATCCCTCCAGCACTGCAAAAAAGAAGAGAGGGAGGGAGGGGGGGAGGGCAGAGGGGA